ATGGATGGATGGATGGATGGATGGATGGATGGATGGATGGATGGATGGATGGATGGATGGATGGATGGATGGTTGGATGGATGGATGGATGGATGGATGGATGGATGGATGGATGGATGGCCAGCTGGCTGGCTGGCTGATAGCCTGTCTTTGTACTAAAAATGGGATTTGAGAAGCTCAAAACAAGATTAAACAAAATAAGATTGAAATATAGACAAAAGTAAACAAAATAGATTCAGATTAAAAACTAGATTTAAAACAGTTTAGAACATGGTTTAAAGCGCATCAATGGTTATCTGTGTTTTCCTTTGATGAAAAGCCTATTTTCCAGGAACTGATCACTCACCCAGCACTTGTCATAATAAAAAGATCTTTGCCTGCCAGGAGAAGGACAATAGGTAGAAGGTTGGCCTCCATTAGAATGGAGTTCCAGAGCCTTCAAGAAAGACGGCTCCTGTGTCACCATCAGCCATGCCTTTGAAGAAGGTGGGACCAAGAGAATAGTTACCCCTGAAATTCCTAAAGCCAAGGTATGTAGGTTCATATGGAAGGACATAGTGCTTCCGATAATCTGAATACAAGTAATACACTGTTTTATAGGTCATAACCAGCACTTCAAGCTGTGCAGGAAAGCCGGCTGGCAGGCAACAATGCTTTCGTAACAAGGCAGTTGTATGCATCCTGTAACTGGCCCTGGTCAGCAGTCTGAATGAAACATCTTGGACCAGCTCAAGTTTCCAAACTTTTTGCAAACACAGCACTTGCTGATGGTGATGTATGAACTATTACAGTAGTAATTTTCTGAATCTGAATTGTTGCGCTGTGCCTCTTTATTTTCACCTAGTATTTATCATACAGACTTAAAGTCGTTTAACTGCCATTCTTTTGCTGCAGAGAATCCTGGGAGCTATAGTTCTATGGATGGGACCTCATGTTTCTTTGAGATCTCTATGAATTCTCAAAGGTAAAGGTTCCCCTTGACAATTTTTGTCCAGGCGTGTTCAACTCTAGGGGGGCGGTGCTCATCCCCGTTCCCAAGCCATAGAGCCAGCATTTTGTCTGAAGACAAGCTTCTGTGGTCACATGGCCAGTGCGACTTCGACACGGAACGCTGTTACCTTCCCACCGAGGTGGTCCCTATTAATCTACTCGCATTTGCATGCTTTCAAACCGCTAGGTTGGCGGGAGCTGGGACAAGCGACGGGCGCTCACTCCGTCGCGTGGATTCGACCTTACGACTGCTTGGTCTTCTGACCTTGCAGCACAGGCTTCTGCGGTTTAGCCTGCAGCGCCACCACGTCCCAATATGAATTCTCAAAAGCTACACACAAACTGTAATCCTCAAAAACAAGGTAAATCTTCAGTCTTTTGGTGGCCAAAGAAGTTATAGTTCTGTTCCAACAGATACATCTCTGGCCACCTTATCTGAAGCAAGTACTATTCAACTAAGCCAAAACAGACTAGTAAACAATCTCTCATGTACATTAACTCATACTGTGCAATCAAGTCAGAAGGGTGAACAGTACAGTGACATCAGAATCAGCCTGCCTGTGCTTCAGTAATAACATTTACTTCATACTGTCATGTTCTGATCTCATGCATTAAGCATGTTCACTCAAAATTAAATACAGATTGGGTGAATGTAATAAAGATAAAGACAGAAGGTGAAAGGGTAGAGAATAAAACTGTATCCTAATCATCCTGTGGTTTGGAGTCATAAACTGTACTCAACAAAATATTAAAAAAGAACAACAGCTTGGGGCTACCTTATTATCCCAGTTCAGATCTACATACAAGCAGACTTGTCTAAGAACAGAGGCACTGATTTCTTTATGTTGAAACACTGACAAAATAGATAACTTGGATTGAGTTTTCAGAAAGCTTTCCCGAACACAAAAGGGTACTTATAAGTAAGACTTTTCTTTTTTTTGCATGAAGGAAATCACTTGTAATTATTAAGCCGCTACACTTCTCTGGTGGTATCAGAACAAAAATAATATCAGCCTGGTCACCATGGTAACACTGTTGATCTTATATTAACAGGCTTAATCCTAGGTGGTTGTGGAGCTGGTACTAACTTACAGTCTCTATATTTCATTCCTCTGGTCTAGCCTATTGGACAACAATTATTCTGTGTTTCCAGGGGTGCTAGCCTCTAACTCAAGAAATGATGCTCTGCATTTAACTGTGATATGATTAGGAGATATTTTGCATATACTGTATAGTCATTTGTGCTTGAATGATTGAAGAGCATGCACCTGATAATCTCTTCTTTAGACCGCCAATGCTATGCAGCTATGTGTTTTTGTCTTCTTACTTGTTACACTATGACTACGTATCTTTAAAAATAATATTTTGATACTTATTTTAAATTAATCAGTCTACTATTACCTAGCTTGTCACCATGTCAGAACAGATAGATACTGGTGATTAACTGTGAAATATCTACACTGGAAGCAAAACCCAATGCAATTATGACATTTCCACGGTGAAACTAGGTCACTGCTTCTTAATGGTCTTCTGCAACATTATGCATCATTTCTAATGACTTGCTCTCAACAGTTGCCAAAGAGAGTGAATCCCTGTGTATTGTGCACAATAATGAATTCTGACCCTTTTTGGCAGAAAGATGGGAAATAAATTAAATGAACAAACAAATATTCTATACAGATTTTCCATTTCACTGCTACAACTTCAACACTGCTCTAGTTTTATTATACCTGTGGATAACTCAGTGAGTTAGGTAGAAATTGGGAGCTCGATTCCTAGAACAGCCAGTCTGTGTCACCCTGGGCAAGCTGCACAGTCCACAAAGAAGGAAATCATACAACTCTGAGCACTCTGTAACAAAAAGCTCTGGCATGGCAGTTTGCAGACATACACACTGTGCCTAGCAGAACCTCTTTGCCCACCCTCCCGGGATAGCACAAGACGCGTCAATCGCATTTCTGCAACCCAGGAGGGGAAGGAAAAGGAGCAGCTTATTTATAGGTGTTCCCTCCCTACATCAGTCTCTTTTAAGGCTTGCAACCCACTCACCAACCCTTGGTTCTACTATGAGTTTTACTGGTCATCTTTGGGGGGTGAATAGGAATTTTTGACCCGTTTCCCAATTGGGCAGTGGAGACGGAGCTTTTATGCCTGTCCCACACTGCTAGAGGGCATCAGGGCTGCTAGTTATGGGTGGAATTTGTTTTCGGTCACACTGGCGGGTAGTGTCGAGTTCAAATGGATCGGTGAGTTCCCCTTGGAGCACAGGGGAGGCTATCAACCATCCCAACTTCCAGCGCTGTGGATCATGAGATTACAGTGTGTGGGAGGAGGATCGAGGCCAGTTGGGGCCACGCTGTCTTCAGGACCGTGCAACCTCAGGGTATGGGACTCACACATTTTTTTAAAGAATGAGTCTGGTGAAACCTCTGCTACAAACCTGACTCTGCGCTGTAGCAAGCCCCTCATTTGGGTGGACTCTGAAATTAATATGGTCAATATTAATGAAATGTGGCCCTAGTTTACCCCATCACCTGTGTCTCACCTCATTATTCTGGGATGGGGGGGGGACAAAGGGTCACTGTAAATCAGAGCTGACTTGACGGCATGTAGTTGTTTTTATTATTAGTGTCTTCATGCTGAATTGTCAGGCCTTGAAATTCTAATTTAACTTAAAGCTACTTTGTGTTGATTACTCTCAGCATATTCAAACACACTTCAGACGCTAGACTTAAGAGCGAAGGAAGAGAGAAAGAACCTTATATATTTTTTTCTTTGTCATGATAGCATTCTGCTCATGTTAAGCTCCACATTAGGAAACAAACACTATCTCTAACAAGTGCCACTGATGTTTGCATTTCAGATCACAGTTTTTCGTATGGGATCGGAAGGACACCAGGACATTGATCTGGCCATCTTAACAGCTTTGCTAAAAGGTAAGAACATTCTATGTAGCAAGGCTCTATCACTAGGCAAATTCTCTCCCTCTCTCTCTCTCTCTCTCTCTCTCTCTCTCTCTCTCTCTCTCTCACACACACACACACACACACACACACACACACACACACACACACACA